TATATTAAATAATATTTATATTATATATGTAGAGTCACTCTTTCTCAATTCGCTATAAGTATATTTTCAAATTAAAATTGAAAATATGTATGAATTATATTTTTTTCCTATTGTAATATTATTTAACTTTTTTTATTTATTAAATATTTATTTTTATAATAAAAAATTATTTTATTTTTTATTTCTATTTTTTAAATTTAAAATTTACTTTTAAAAATATTATCTCTTAAATTTATGCTTATTGTTATATATTAAATTTTTACATTTAATAAAATTAGTTATTAATTTTTTCTCATTTAAAAGTATTTAACTACATAAAATGAAATGATATAAATTAGTTTATATTATTATCTTGATAAATTTATATTGTGAAAAATTAGTATTTTTATTATATTTTGATAAGATTTAATAACTTCAAATTTTCAACATAAGAGAAGTCAAGATAAAGGATTTTAAAAAGGTTTGATGGGTTTAAATGGATTCATTATATGACTCAATAAAAATTAAACATGTGTATCAAGTTATTTTTATGTACTTAATGATATGTTTTTTAATGAGTAATTTTTTTCAATCATTGTAATTAGGCAAATAATTCCACGAAAATTATTTCAAAACTATTCTAAAAATTTCAAATTAAATTTGATAAGTATATTTTAATCTTTTTTTTTCTTTATATTCTTTCTATCTTTTCACGATATCTTTTGCCAACAAAATGAAAGGCGGCAAAAAAGTGAAACGTTATTAAAAATCTTATTGTGTTACCAAAATTAATGGTCTAACTTTCAAATTTGTAATTAAAAATTATAAATAAAAATTAGTTGTTTATTTATTTGAGTGTCTAATAAAAATAAAGTAGATGAAAATTAACATTATCTTAATTAAAAAGTATTACCATAGTAATAAATTTTAAAAAAGTTGCAAGAAATTTATTTTTGTCATTATCAATTTATAAATACATGTCTTCTATTGGCTGAAAAATGATAGTAAAACACTATTTTAAACACACTCTTTATTAACTAACTAAAATTTATTAAAAAATACACAAATCATGTGAGTTTCGCTTTTTCATTTCTAAATTAATATTTTTTTTCTCATACTTTGTAATTTTTAATAAATTTTAACCAATAGTATAAAGTATTTGAGAAAAAGTGTATTAGTAACATTCAACCTATTAATTTTTCTCAAAATGTTGAATAAAAATTTAAGGCATCTTAATAAACAAATTAACAAATGTACCAAATCGTCTACAGTAACAAACTAGATTTTATCGTCCATTAAGATTAATGTTAATTATCAAATCACAAGAATGTTGCTAGTTGGGTTGAAAAATAGAATATGAACTTAAAAGAAAAATTTTAATTTTGTGCAGAAAGTAAAAGTAAAACGTAAGTGCTGAAAAATTAAATTAGCAATGAGAGTAAAATTCAAATATAAGGGATTACCTATAAATGAATTAAACTGCATAATGTAACTAAATTATGGAACAAAGATGAGTTGTAAATTAATTAAGAAGTAAGTTAAGTTCAGAATCCTTAATCCTTTATCATTGCATAAAAATATATATAACCCAGTTTACAATCCAATCTAATGGCCAAATTTTTTTACCGTACCTAATACCAATTTCTTGGTTGATTAGTTCTAAACTAGTTCTAGATTCCTAATTCTTTAGGTAACTAATAAGATGATAAGCATTAAATTTAGAAATCAACTAGAACACATCACTATAAATTCATATTGCTAGATAATCCACAACGAGCAATTTAATTACAATCCAAAAAAGATTACAACTTTCCACTTATAAGCTTATTTTCATCAACCCTACATACAAAGAACAAGGAAGCATTAAGTTCAAAATTAAATATGCTAGCTCGCAACTTGATATGAGTTATAATCATTGTTTAGTTCATTACAATTGACAAAAGATTAAATTCATCATTTCTTCCAATAAAATTAGCAAGACATAGCGAAAATAAGGAAGAAGAAACTGAAATATATTGCAAAAATAAACTTCATATTCAACTTAAAGCAAATTACAAGTAAAATGTAAATGTAAGAATCACTGTTCTATTAAAGAGTAAAAGGAATGGAGGAATATAACCCTACTGCCTATCAAATTCTCATACAAAGCACAAAGGAGAAATGGAATGAAAGACATCCGTATATAAAGATGTACGAAAAACCTAGAATTTTGTATTTGAAAAGTGTAATAAAAGATGTCGCCTTTAGCAGAAAATTATGTTTTTATATGTTCTATCATGCTCGTGTCCACACAATCAAATATGTGCGTACCTCCAAACACATCCTGCAATACTTCAACTTCTTTTCTTTTAGATCAAATTACAATTTCTCTTATGAACCCTTGAAAAACCAACTGCAAACTATTAACAATTGAACAATTCATTGCATTCAAAGTAGTAGCATCTTTCTATTGAATATTCTAATTAATTGCATTGATCTTATATTATTTACTCAATAAAATGTGTTATAAGTGTTTAGTTTACTACATGAGTCATCATATTTACACAAAAATTACATCTCATATAACATAACTATATCCAATAAATATGTATTGTATCTCGTATAAATTTATTATTATATTGCATGTCTCTACATTATTATAATGATATTAAGTTGTTTTGAATAAAATGTAAAAATTATCAAGGCTTCACCAATGAAAACTATTCTACAATTAAGAAAGTTTTTAAAACGTTGTGCTTTGATTCATTATAGAATAGAGCACAGTCATTGTTGTTTTAACTTTTGATAAGATAAATAACATTTTAGAAACAAAAGAAATAATATATGTTATATAAAAATATTTCTTTCCAATTATGAGATCAACCGCTACCTTAAAGAACCTAGTTTTGAAGCCCTTAAACAAAGATGTATAAGGCTTTAGCAGAGGTAACTCGGCCTTTAAAGAAACTCATCTCACCTTATCTAAAGGTTGGGTATAAAAGAAATGAAAAAAAAAAGACTTACGCTAAGTTCTATATAATATTTATAAAGGATCCGGAATGTCTGCATAGCCACCAATCCATTTGGGTGCAACTGGGTAAGTGCCACATTTAACACCCACAACACTCTCATTTGAAAATCATCAAATGGAAGCATTACTCTCAATTCCCAAAAAATACATTCATATACAAAGAAGATACCGACCATTTTGACATCCTCGCCTTAAAAAAACAAGTTCAGGATTTTAGAAACAAAAGAAATAATATTTTCTAACACGTATAAAAATTACACTACTCATGAGTACCTAATTTGTTTGTATCGTTTGAAAAAGTAGAATCTATTATCCATAAAAACTTTTATCATTTAAAATGGAGTATACTTTTAATATGTTATCAGTGAAAATTTATGCATTATCAATTAATTAAAGTAATTGATAAATATATATTTTCAAACTTATCATTATAAAAATTAATAATTTTTATCACTATAACAATGCTTAGATAATGATATAAAAAAAGTTCACACCGTAAATATATTATAATTAAAATCTTTGAAATCAATTACACAGATATAAATATGCAAGCTAAAAATAATGAAGGAAATACTTTTTAAATTTAAATATCATAATTAATCTTTTCTTGGTGATTTAAGATAACATTCCAATATATTTATGATGATAGTGATTTTGATTATCGTTAATGACGAATAATTGACTACAATCTAAAATGATATTTCAATATATTTAGACAATCTGATATTGATAATTTTGCCTCAATATTTAGTATAAAATATCATTGTCACCCAACGCGGAGCTAGCTGATATTAGATTATTTTATTTTAATTATTGATTTTAAATTTGAGTTTTGGGCATGTATTTAAGAATTTTTTTAATATTTAAAGAAAAATAAAATTATTGTTCATGGTAGCCTTATTTCATTCGAGCACAATTACTTGCTATAGAAAAAATAAGTAGTTTAGAAGAAAAAAAATTCTAAAAAAAATATTAACTATGGTTACTTCAATATAAAAAACAACTTAAAATTTAATTGTAGTAACTTGAGACAAAATGAATAAAGATTGATCCAAATCAACTGAAAAAATATCACCGTCGAATTAAGTTAGAATTAGATCATGGGTTTGAAAATATTGTAATTTTAAAAATACCCACAATTGCATGATTATGTAGCCTCACACAAGAGGGGACATAACAACATAACTCGATAAATTTAACCCTTTTTTGGTGCTGAGGAATGTAACCCGTGTTCTTGATGAAGGTACTTGAAAGTATAAAGGCTCTGTTGTAAAAGTAATTTCTCTTTAAATCAAGGTGTTTTTTTCGCAAAGTTGAGGCAGGAGTATTTTGTTTCCCAAGATTGCTCAAGCATAAGTGCTCCAAGTAAGTTTATGTTCATCTTGCTTTCTTTTTAATTATGTTCATTGAAATTAGTTCTCATCAACCCTCTTTACTTCTTATTGCGTTAAGCATGATAATTAGTGTGAAGTTTTATTGAGTAGCATAAAAGTTAGTAAGGCAAAGTCATTTAAATTCCTTTCTCGTTCAATGCTATTTCATATTTTTCGAAATTCTCTGTAATTTTAATTTTTTTATACGACTTACTTCTCAAACTAATGTGAAGTCTGCTAATTGAAATTATTTTGCCATTGAACTGAGATTGGAATTATTAAAAAGTTTACATCTAATCCGTAGCTATATATTTTAATAATTTCCAATTAATGTTTGTATCTGTAAAATTCGAATATTGATTACTTTAGTTTTGAAATAACAAAAATATCATTTTAATTCCTGGAATAAATGCCACTCGTTTCAGTTTTGATAACTATAGGACTTCAATTAAACTGACCAAACTAATTTAGTATAGTAGTCAATTAAATATCCATCCTTTGTTGGTCTTATATTACTGCTTACTTTTATGTATGCTCTTTTTTTCAACATAATGCATTTGTAAAGGCTTTGCTTTTGCTAGGCTTGTAACACTTATTAACCCTTACTGAAATGTGCTATGTACAATGCAGGTTCAGAAATGGCAAATCAAAGGTGTAACGATTCTGCACCAAAAGAGACTTCTCTTAACATGGGTATTGGATTAGGCAAAGGAGGTGGCAATCTCACAAGAAAATTGGATCTTGTTGAACAAATGGAGTTCTTGTTTGTGAAAGTTGTGAGGACCAGAGACTTGCCAAATACCCGTCATGAAATTTATGTGGAAATTAAAATTGGAAACTTGAAAGCAACAACTTGTTTCTTTGAGAACAAGGCAACACCATCATCATCCCATGCATTGAACCAAGTGTTTGCTTTTGAGAAGGACAAAATCCATGACACATACTTGGAGGTTTTGGTGAAGAGCAAGATGGTAGCTTTGAACATGCCTAATGCATTTTTTGGTCGTGTTCAGTTCAGTCTCCGTGATGTTCCAACGAGGGTCGCACCTGAGTATTCACTGGCACCCCAATGGTACAAGCTAGAGGATCAAAATGGGAAACAACATGTTAGAGGAGACATCATGTTGTCTTTATGGATGGGGACTCAAGTAGATGAAGATTTTCCTAATGCTTGGTGTTCTGATGCCACAAGCATGAGTGGTGATGCTGTTGGTTACACTCGTTCTAAAGTGTATATGTCACCTACACTTTGGTACCTTAGAGTCAATGTGATTCAAGCACAGGACTTGTTGTTTAGATTCCCTCCTGAGAGTTCAGATGTTTTTGTCCAAGTTGATTTGGGGAACCTACGTTTAAGAACCAGTTTTTCCAAGAGTTTAAACCCATTATGGAATGAGGATTTGATGTTTGTCGCACAAGAACCATTCAGTGACACCCTTGTCCTAAGTGTTGAGCAAGGAACCTTGGCTCAGCATGTAAGCTTGGGAAGGTGTATTCTTCGTTTGAAAGATGTGGATGAGAGAGTAGATGGTCAGGATGCTGATAGCAGATGGTATAACCTTAATTGGCATGGAACCAATGAGACTGAAAGGGAGGTGAAGTTTGCTAGTAAGCTCAACGCAAGGATCTCTTTGGATGGTGGGTACCATGTGATGGATGAGCCTAGTGAATATTGTAGTGACTTCAGGCCTTCATCAAGGAAACTTTGGAATTCTAGCATTGGTGTTTTGGAGGTGGGAATTCTGAAGGCAACTGATTTGGTGCCAATGAAATGGGGGACTAGAACTGATGCCTATTGTGTTGCTAAATATGGACCCAAATGGGTGCGCACAAGGACTGTTTTTGATAGCCTCTCACCAAAGTGGAATGACCAATATGTTTGGGAAGTGTTTGAGCCATTCACTGTCATCACTATTGCAGTGTTTGACAACAATCAGTTGAACGCTAATAGAAGAGGTGGTCGAGCAAGTGATGCTATAATGGGAAAGATAAGGATTCGGGTGTCCACATTGGACCGTGGCAAAGTCTATACACATTCGTATCCACTTGTAGGTTTGCAACATTCTGGGGTGAAGAAGATGGGAGAAGTTCATTTGGCATTGAGATTTTCTTGGTCATGTATGTCTTCACTTAGTATGTTTCAATCCTATATTTCACCTTTGTTTCCTATACATCACCATGTTTTACTCTTGTCTCCTGCAAAGCTTGATAATTTAAGAAATCAAGCTGCTCATATTATAGCAAATAGGTTGAGTAGGGCAGAACCACCCTTAAAGAAAGAGGTTGTGTATTATATGCTAGATTCGAGATCAGACATGTGGAGCAGGAGAAAAGCAATAGCAAATTTCAATAGGGTCATGAGTCTTATTGGTGACTTTATTGCCTTTTGGAAATTGTTAGAGCGCATAAGAGTTTGGAAGGACCCAATTGCCTCATTGCTTTTCAACCTTATGTGCTTTCTTATACTCTTCTATCCACAACCCATGATGCCCTTTGTGATTTTCTATCTTTTTTGGGTTGGGTTGAAGCATTATTTCAAGAGGCCTAAGCATACTTGTCAAATAGATGCAACATTGTCTGGTGCAAATTTAGCAACTCCTGAAGATTTAGCTGAAGAACTTGATGTGTTTCCAACCCAACTTGGAGGTGAACCTTTAAGGAGGAGTTATGATAGATTGAGAATCATAGCTAGGAATACACAAAGAGTGGCTAATGACTTGGCCACCTTAGGAGAGAGGGTGCAAGCTCTTAGCAATTGGAGGGATCCAAGAGCTACAACAATATTTTTACTATTTTGTGTTGTTGGTTTTCTTGTGACAGTTATTGTTCCTGTCCGTGTTGTCATCTTCATTTGGATCACATACTATCTAAGGCATCCTAGATTCAGGGGCATTTTGCCTTCTGTTCCTCAGAACTTCCTCAAGAGAATGCCCACCAAACAAGCTTTTATACTGTGATGACATTACATATTCTAGCATAGGACAATCTTGTTAAGTTGTTCTACAGTAATTGTAGTGAGTGTACTGGGACACTATTATTTACAAGCAATTAGATATATAATATACTTTAAATAAAATGTTCTGACTAATTACCTCATACTTATTAAGTAAACTTTGTATGGTCCTTTAGTATTTGAAGAGGGAGTTGCTGAATTGTTATGGACTATGGCTTTGTTGGAAATGTAACAATATATTATTTTTTTCCTATTTATCTCTCTAGAGAGAGAAGAATTTTGTTTTTATTTATTTAACAATTTCAGCATATATTTATCTCTCAAGACAATATTAATTGTTATTTTTATACTAATATCTTTTTGTCTATTTAAATTATATATACTATTTGACTAATTTAAGGGTAAAAAAAGAGACTAATTAATAAATGATAAATTAGTAAGTTTAACAATTAATTTTAATAAAATGATTATATATTTTTTTTGTTAGTATAATTTCTCTCTATCTTTGGACAGCTAAATTAATAAAAATATGCGTGAAAAATAACTAAAAGGCATGAGAAGCTCGTACTTTCACATTCTAATTCTGTCATAGTTTTACTAGACCATAAACTTTAGAAGCTTGGGAAAATTAGATTAAAAAAATTGTTTTCGTTAACATTCACCTTTTAAGTTAAACTTAAACAATTAATAAAAGTAAGATTTTATTGAAAAAAATATTTTATATAATTTTAATTTAATTAATACTCTTTTGTTAATAAAATTTTAGTATTTTTAATTGCTTAAACTCAATTTTAAAAGTTAAGGTTAATTAAAATGAAAACTTTTGCTGGAATCTTGAAAACATGAATCTAGTATTATGATTTTGGTGCATCAGCATTCCAAAATTTCAAATGGATGTAGTCTTTAAGATTTTGCACACAAAATGCACAGCACACACCTAACAGTGTGCCTCATCAACAATAAGACTTTTGCTGTCACTGAGATTCAAGCTCAAGAACCAGTCTCATAAGTGTTAACAAATAGTTCAAGCTAAATTATATGTGATAAATGGGTGCAAAATATTCACATATAATTAGGTAAAGTCCACATTATTTTAGTTTTATGAAAATAATTAAACTTCGTCACAGTTTGGTTTATATATTTAGTAACGAAATGATGTTCATTAACATTGATAAAGTCACTAGTGTTTATTTGAATACACAAAACGTGTTTTTGTAAAGTAAAATGATTTTCTAGGGCAACTTTTGTTTTAAATTTTGAATTCTCAAAATCAATATTGCAGAAAGTAAAAAGTTTAAGAATAAGCAAAGCTTTTCTTTTCTAATGAATAGATTTGGTAAGTGCAAAATTCATGCAATTTTTTGAAACATATATTAACACTTCAAAGATAATTTCACTTACCAATAGAAAAATTAACATTTTAAACTTTGCTCTAAAATATTATTTCTAAACACAATTATTTACAATTCTTTCCAAATAATCTTTTTCAAAATCAACTTTCCTTTAAGATTTTCAATTTTCATGGTTATTGCTTAGTTTTGAATCCCATCATTAACTATGAATAGTATCCACATACATTTCACTTGGGTATGTACATATATGATAGAAAAACTTACTTACAAATATGAATTAAGTATAAAAATAAAAATATTATTTAAATTTAAAAATTATATATATACACATATGAATAAATAAAGTATAAATATTATTTATTAAAATACAAAATTATAAATAAAATCATTCATCTAAAGTCAAAAAAAATACCAAATTATAATATAATACATGTATAAAACATTAACAAAATTATTTATTTGATTTTAATTGTCTCTGTGTATAATTTTAATCTTCTTATCCCGTACTCTATGGGTACTTTGATACCTATAGGAGTTAAACAAAAATATTATTTCATATCATAATCATAAAATATACCAAATAAAGTATTTAGTTTAATTCAAATCAAACTTCAAATGCATTAAAATAATTAATTACATATAATGTACATTAAATATATAGAATAACTAAAATCATATTCAAATATTTTAAAATGTATTAAGTAGTTGAATTCATACTTAATACATTTTTTAAAATATGTGAATATGATTTGAGAAGTAATTTTTATGAGTAATTTTTACAGTAATTTTAATTATTAATTAATTTTTTTGAATTTCAAATTTTAGAATGACTTTCATCTTTGTCAAACATTTTTTTTCCTCATTACTATAAGTTTTCGGGGATATAATTTTACAGTTTTAAAAATTAACATAAAATTAAGTTTTTATATTTCTAAAAATTAATTTTAAGATTATTAACTATTTTCAAATTAAGTTTCTAGAATTAAAATTTTAGACTTCTAAAATTAAATTTTTACCCTTCTAAAAATTGATTTATAAAATTATTAACCATTTTCAAAATAATTTTTTTAATTTCCCAAACTAAGTTTTTATAATTTCAAAATTTATATTTTAAAATAATTTTTCAATATTAAAATTCTACACTTCCAACAAAATTAAGTTTTTACACTTCTAAAATTAAATTTCCATAATTCTTAATTTCTAAAAACAAATTTTTAAAATCAGAATTCTACACTTGCAGAAAATCATTTTTAAAAGTAAATTCTTAGACTTATGAAAATTAATTCCCAGAACTATTAACCATTCCTAAAAATAAATTTATAAAATTAATTTTTTATATCGTCGCGAATGATATTTTTTTTAAAAAAAAGGTTACAAGAGGAGTGTGAAAAGAAGAAAAGAAAAACGTAAAAAAAACAACTCGCTTGGGTCGTCATCACTGAAGCCCCCATTAACATACAACAGCAATATTAGTTTATTTTCACCATGCAACCTTTTTTCTAAGTACATAGCTTGCATTTATTTTTCAGCTGCTCACAATTGTTCAATTAATGACACTGAACGTCCATAATGATCATATTAAACATTTCCGAGTCAAAAGGCACGAAAACCAATGGCATAATTTGAATCCTTTGTGGGAGCCCCCAATGACCCAAAATTTCATGATATAATTTCGTAGCACTTTACTGAACAAATGGCATAAGGGTAGTAAAAGAGGTCATGGATACTCTGCTGCATATTGCCAGCATTCAGACACATATGGCCAGCTAAGAATCAGTGCATTATTGCTGCTCACACATTATGCACTGATTTCCCTTTCCATTAAGACCCTTTAGCTACCCCACCTTTCTCAGTGGACCCAGTCCCTTAACTTTACTACTACAATCTTGTGTGCTACCCAAACAAGTACAAGAATTGGATTACTACACCTTTCAACTTGTAGTAAAGTGTGATAAACATCTTTTCTGTTCAAAATAACAATACAGACTAGGACTAAAATTTTTATAAACATTCTCATTACCTTGTACACCCACTCTTCCTTGCCTTGCCTCATCCATTTTTTTTTTCACTTTAGGGGTTTTTAATATACATGATTCTTAGATTTGGCTCTTTCAAAATCCTCACTGTTCTGAGAGATTACCTCTCCAAACTTGAGGAAGAGCTGGGCATCAGAAGTGCTCATGGATGGACAATTAACCAAGTGTGGAGTCTTGAGATTTGCATACTCATCCATGTAGCATGGCACTTTAGCTGATGGATTTGAAGGAGGTGGGAGTGTAGCTGGTTGTTTTGGTGGGAAGCTTGATGGCACAAGACTTCCCAGCACACGTGCCACTTCATGCATTGTGGGTCTATCAGCTGGTTGCCTCTTTGTGCATAGTAGTGCAAGCTGATAAACCTTTTTCACAGCTCCAAGGTCCTTGCATGTGGCCGTAATGTCTGGATCAACTGTTTCCATTACAGCATTGTTTGCTGTCTTGGACAAAATCTACATAAATTGAAGAATTAGTCTGTGTGAACATAGGAGAGTACAACCTCATTGAGCAACCAAGGATTAGAGAGTGATATTTTTGCAAATTAACTTTGCAATCTTAAATCATAAGCAAACAGTTGTTGAGTCCCAGAGAGTAAAAATTTGAACTTTGAAGAGAAGGGACCAAACATTCTAGCATGCCCAGAATATATATAGACTAAGGATAGAGCAAAAACATACAACAAGCTCATAAAAAACCAAGGTTAAACTACAAACTGTCATGCTCAGAATATCCAGACTAAGGATAATGCAATAACATACACCTAGCTTATAAAAGACCAAGGTTAAACAGAAAAATGTGAGTGCATGTGTGTGTATTGAAATGTGTAGAACCTAGCAAGCTCACCAGATGATGGAGATTGGATTCATTGTCAACAGCTTTTCTCCCAGTTAGCAACTCAAGTAAAACAATACCATAGCTGTACACATCAGACTTCTCAGTGAGTCGTGATGTTCTAGCATACTCAGGGTCTATGTAGCCAATTGTGCCCATTATGTAAGTAGAAGTATGGGACTTTGAAGGACAGAGACTTTTGGCAATGCCAAAATCAGTGAGATGCGGCTCAAAGTCAGCATCTAATAAAATGTTCGATGACTTCACATCCCTGTGGATGATTCGAGGACTGCAATCATGGTGTAGATAAGCTAGCCCTTGTGCTGCTCCAAGTCCTATTTTTAGACGCAAATCCCAGTCAAGTTTCTTCTTCTTGGTGGGTCCTAGAAAGGTACATAAGAAAAGTCATAAATAACGTAAGTATTGTCTGGATTCTTATCGTTTTCTAAATGATTGTTATTCAAAGCATCAGTTAGACTAATAAAAATACAGGTGTGATGTGGAGACACCCGCTTAACACAAGCCTATTAAGTCATATATGCAACGTACCAGGTAGAATGCATCAGAAAGTGCTCAGAAATCTTAAACAAATGTCATGCATGAAACAAGGAACTTTGTTTCATGACAGTCATACATACAATTTAGAAGAATTGCTCATATCATATACCAATCCATTATTAAAGAGGAGAGATACAACAAATACTTCTAAATACAGGATTATGTGCTTGCCTGCAACATTCAAAGAATAGCTTGAACTTACCATGAAGAAGATCCCATAGACTGCCATTTTCCATGTAGTCATAAAACAGAAGGTGGCCATATGGGGACAAAGAATAGCCTTGGAGACTGACCAGATTCCTGTGCTTAATGCTTCCAACTGTCTCAAGTTCAGTTTCAAATTCTTTCAAGCATTGTGGATAGTGAGAATAGAGCCTTTTGATGGCCACTGGTTTGCAATTCTTGAGAACACATTTATAAACTGTACTTGATGCACCATATCCAATTATATACTTCTCACTCAGGTTTTCAGTCATCCTCATGATATCTTCATACACATGAAGTGCCATATTCATATGAAGAATCACTAGTTTTGGAGGTGAGTAATTAACTGTCAATTCCAAAGCTCATTCAGTCAGTAACCTGACAACTTCAGTTTCAATAGACAGAGTGATAATAAAATACTCTAAAATATATCAAACATTACAAAATCCTTTAATGTTAAAATCAGTCCTACAAACAATTACTCCATCCAGTCCTATTTATAAGAAACAAAAGAGTAAATCAACAGGACAGCAATTCAGTTACCCTAAACCCTAAATAATTTGATTCCAAAATACCCATAATATTAAATGATGTAGTTGGTGTAGTCATTTCCTCGTAAACATACATTTAACAATAATAGAAAGGTATAAAAGGAATTCAGCAATTAATACATCTCAAATATATCATGTTTGTTATAATTAAAACCAAGAAAATACTCAATTTTATTTCTTATAAAAAGGACCAGAGGGAGTATTAATTTTCTACTACTTGTTTAAAGAAACATCCACTAAAGACAATTAATATATAAAAGTCAAAACCCAAGCTTGGTTTTCAAACTTATGCAACAACAACATTAAGTTTTATCTCACTGTGTGAGGTCAACATGCAACAACATCATTAAGTTTTATCTCACTGTGTGAGGTCAGCTATATGGACCGCATGACGCCATAAGCTTAGTCAAGCTCTTAGAACATATGCAAGATAATTAAGAGCTATAACGAGAGACTGATTATTTACTAATTTTGGGTGTTGAAGGCTATAGCTTAAATAATAAGGATGCAACAAAGAAAGTACCTGGCTTGTCAAGTGATCCATCAGCAAAAGGAGATGGATTGTGGGGTCGGCAAGCTGCCAGCAATATCATAAGAAGAATTACAAGGGCTCCAAGTGTAATTCCCAGAATAGCTGCCTTAGATAATGTAACTGCACAGTATATAAAATAAATTAGCTTATTCTGTATAACTTGACCACTAAACCCTTAATCTATCTCTTGATTGAACGGATGTTACAGGAAGAACATGGCTGCTGCTCTCTGTATCATTGTTATCAAACATCTTGAAAGATAAAAGCAACAGTGAGTCAGCAATAATGGCTTCTCTCTGTATCATTTGTTTTTTAGTAGAATGTATTTTAGAAGAATTACTTTTGGAAAAATAGGTATTAAACAAGGGAAATATTCACATCTACTCCCAGGTAGAGAGAGTGTAGTAATCAAAGAGAACAAGGAAATAACTTTTGAGAAGAGATTTCAGGGTGTGTATGACAAGGCATAGACAGAATGGGGCAACAAGATATTCACATCTACTCCCAGGTAGAGAGAGTGAAGTAATCAAAGAGAACAAGGAAATAACTTTTGAGAAGCGATTTCAGGGTATGACAAGGCATAGACAGAATGGAGCAACAGGATATTCCTGCTAGAAAGTGCAGCTTACCTCGCTCTGCAGGGTGAGAGCCATGACATGGCAAATTCAGCCAATTACCACAAAGGCCAGGGTTTCCAATGAAACTGCAAATAAAGACTTGCACAAATCAATCAGATGAACATGCTGATGACACTCTAGACTATATTACTTTGGAACTTAAAAAGCCAATAGAGACAGTGCTCAACAGTGAATGACCATCACCTGTCAGGGGGAAACCTGGAAAAGTTGTTGTTTGTGGGAATAACACCAACTAGTTTGTTATAGGACACGTTACTACAAAATTCACCATAGATATTCAACTTATTAGGTAAAAGTGACATGATCAGTTAGAAATATGAAAAAAAAATTGTCAAAAGCTAAACTTACAGGAGAGAGAGACTAAGGCAATTTGTAAGTGATGCCACATCCCCAGTTAATTTGTTGTTTTCAAGCCTCCTATATATCATTTTAAACAAAGATAATTAGAAATACCAACACAACTCGAAATTAGCATTGAACATAGACATCTTTATCTAAAATTTGAAAAACGAAGCTAATCACTGCATATGAGATTTGCCAAGGCCATATTATAATTACTGTAAAAAATTATTAACAAAACATAAGAGATTAGAAAACATGAAAAATATACAGAAGCTTACAAGGATATCATGTTCTGAAGCTGACTAAGTTCGTCAGGAATCAACCCAGAGAGTTCATTATTTGAAAGATCACTGCAACATAGAAGCATTAATCAGGATAAAAAAAAATACTTGTTTTAATCAGAAAACTAATGAACTTACATTTCCATAACACTTCTAAGATTTCCAAATTCAGCTGGAATAACTCCTGTTAAATTGTTTCTGCTCAGATTCCTAACAAAATGAATATTAGCTATCAGTAAGGAGAAATAGTCCATATTCCAAACATTGACTAGACAGATACTCACAGCTTCAGAAGATGTTCCAAGTCACCAAGGGAAGAAGGGATGAAACCAACTAAATTATTGTTTGAAATATCCCTACATGGAAACCATCTGTTAGTATGAAGTTCAAGATATTGGTGTGAGGAGATATATTAACTAGTTCATACTTACAATGTATCCAAATTACCAATCCGTGACAGTTCAATTGGAATTGCGCCTTGAAGATTGTTGGAAGAAAGATTCCTACAAATGATCATTACAATGTGATAAAGCAAAAATAAAGAACAAATAAAACAAGGAAAATTGGTTGAAGCATGGTAGAATTCCAGATATGCAGCCAGGTTACGTTCAAACAAATGTCCCTGATGTGTCTTGGTGAAACTTACAGAGAGGTCATGCTCTCCAAGCTCTGCAAAGCTGGGGGAATAGTTCCATTCAATCTGTTCCCGTGCACATTGCTAAGAAGATAGAAAAGCCTATTACTTTAATGTATTTCATAAAACCTTGTCACAAAATAATAGCACAAGATTTATTGCTTACAGGCTGTTAAGATTTTTACATGAGCTAATATTACCAGGAATTGGCCCCTCAAGATTGTTGTTAGCAACATTTCTGCAAGAACAATGGGTGACTCATCAAACTTGAAACAGATACCAACATCTTTGACACTATAAAGTAACAGGACATACAAGTCAAACAGATCAGTAAGCTTTCCAAGTTCAGGTGGGATATGTCCATCTATATGGTTATCATTCAGTTCCCTGCAAAAACACAAGCATTAACAGATGCCAAATTCCATTCAGTTAAGACTGGTGAACTAACAAGAATGTTTGCCAAAACACTAGGATGATATTTAAGTACCCCAAATTCACTGTTAGAAATGATTTACAGATGAGATGAATTGTATTACAGAATGGGGTAAATATAATAAACCTTCAAGAAGCACATCTAGGCAATATGTCTTTGACTCTTTTTTTAAAAGAAAACTTAGCTAAAAATATTGTCACATATGTAAGCGAAATGGCAACTACTTGCTTAAGCATCTTACAAATAGTGAAGCTTTGTCATATTCCCAAGCTCTGGGGGAATGAGGCCAGTCAGCTTGTTTCCATGCAAGTACCTATAAGCAATTCAAAAATGATATAAATGCACATTTACTACTAGGTCAACTAATTGATATAAATGCAAATCGATTTTTTTATACTTACAATTTTTCTGTGTAAGTCAAATTTCCCAAAATAGAAGGGATTGATCCACTTAACATGTTACAACTCAAGTCTCTGGATTGAAATTTTGAAATAAAACAAATGTTAATAAAAGAACATCAATGAGAAAACATAAAGAAAATGATCAAATTTCATGAAATACATTTCAGAAATCATTAACTAACAATGCTTACAAGACAGCAAGTGCTTGCATGAGACCGATCACAGAAGGAATGTGCCCAGAGAGTTTATTGCCTTGCAATGACCTACCAAATTCAAACAAATCTATCAAGAATTTCTTAAACAAGGAAAGTGGAAAATCAAGTTGCAACACATATAAAGTTGTAATTGTAACAAAAATAACTTAAAAAGGACCATGCAACACATACAATGTTGTCATTCTTACAAAAATAACTTATGAAGGACCATGCAATACATACAATGTTGCTACTTGCAAGAATCCAATATTGAATGGTATCTCTCCAGTTAGCTGGTTGTAGGATAAATCCCTGGCATCAACAAAAGATGTTAAAAAGCATAGAAAGAAAATAAGATCAAGGTATGGCAAAGTCTATTGTACAGTTGGATTACATACAAGACCTGGAACGCAGTACAGTTGCCTATGTTTTCTGGAATACTTCCTGTCAAGCTATTGTTTCTCATATCACTACAAAATTGTAGAAGGAAAATAATCATATCCCCTTAGGAAACGCACATATTTTTGGGCTTGGAATACAAAAGATAGTGATTTAGCCACTTACAAATACCACAACCCTGTTAACTGGCACATGTCTGGTGATAGTGAACCGACCAAATTGTTCCCTCTCAACCCCCTATTATATGGAAATGAGAAGAGGGAAAAAAATCAACAAATTTAGTACTGTCATGCGGAAATAAAAACTTAAAAAAATTATTTCATTTGCATATTGCTTATACTCACAGATACTGCAAAACTTCATTCCAGTATATAAGCCTTGGTATCTCACCACTGAGATTGTTTTGAGCCAGGTCTCTAACAAATATTATTCAAGAGTTGAGAATGTTAGTTATAAAACCTAAAATTAATATCATGAGGGGAAATGAAATGGGAAACGGAAATACAAGAATGACTTACAGAATCTTCAAATTAGGAATCTGAGACAAAGTTGAAGGAATTGGTCCAATCAACTGATTATTTTTCAAAATCCTGTGAGACAATTTTTTCCAAAGAAAAGCCTGTCATAACCTCATTCAAGGATTGGCTAAACAATTTTTTTAGATACAGAGAAATGCCAACAAAGACTCACAGATTTTCCAGTTGTTTCAACTTAGAAATTGAAAATGGTATATCCCCTCTTATTTCATTAAAAGACAAGTCCCTGAAAACATAGTAAAACGTCCAAGTTCAAAGTAAGTCACTAGCTGGTCAAATTATAAACAAAACTCAGTACTTCTAGTGTGTGAAACATACAAGCTCTTCAAGGAAGAACAGTCACCAATCTCATCTGGTATCTGCCCTGATAACCGGTTTTCTCTGAGGTCACTATATCAAAACAAGTGGCAAGAAGGATAAGCAAAATAATATAAATGGAACATCTAGATCTACTGCAAGCATATATGAGGGGAAATAGTTGGAAGAGCGTAGTATACATAGAGACCAAACTCTTAAGGTTCCCTATGGCAGGTGAAATTTCACCATCAAGATTCAACCCTGAAAGATTGCTGCAAAATTTCAAAAAAAAAAAACAAAGGAATGAGAAAATGGAAATTGATCGTTTTCATTGACAAGAGCAAGATGAAGAAGCCTATACACAATGTCCAAGGACACGGCAACTCACAGTGCAACAACATTAAAGGTAACATTATCACAAGTGATCCCTCTCCAAGCGCAATAATCTGATGATGGTGAATCTGTCCAATCATATAGAACATTGTCCACATCCCTGAATGCCTTCTTTATCTCTAACAACGTTGCTCCTTCAATGGAAATATACAAACATTTATCATGCAGAACATAGTTAGAAACACGAACTCAAAGGAAACCAAGTTCTTGCATATCACATTCACATTTTCATAGTCCTGATATCATGTTATACACACGCTTGTATACAATATAATATTATGCAAAATCATATACATATAAATGAAAACTCATTTCCACTATGCAAACCATGCAGAAAACAAGTATGAGTAGAAGAAGTAACACAACTCATTCTAAAAATGTGGAAATTGACAATTGCATTAAAGAGAAAAGTTCACAAGATCCAAAAAATAACCAAGTCAAAACCAGCATTCGCGGGAAAAAGGCGCTGACTTTTTTTTTTCAAATTGACCAACTGAAAACAGCGGAAGAAGTATAAAGTTTAAAGAAAGCAAGAAGAATAATATAAAGTTTAAAGAATCCAACTTTATGTGTTTTTCCAACACCCTTCACCAAAACAAAGAAACAAAGAGAGAAACACATCAAGGGTACTTGGCTATCTAACATTGGCTAGTGGCTACCACACCTTGTTAAGAACCACAAAGCTAAAGTTTCAACTTTCAACACTGTTTTATGTTCTTCTTAAAAAGATTTGTAGAAAAATCCATTCCAAGGAAACCCAACACAGCACAACACCTAAAAGAGAAAGAAAATTTGGAACTGTAAACAACACTCACCATCATCAGAATCCACAGAATTGACATTGAAACAAACGAGCAAAGCAAGAAGAAGGACCCCAAATCCAAATGCCATAGCTACAACTGCAGGACTTCAACCTCACACAACCTTAACCATCAAACCACTCAACTCCCACCAACCCCCAAGCTCTTTGTTCACCTCTTGTTCATGCACAACACAAGGAACCACAATAGAACCAGTAGTAGTAGAAGAAGAAAGAAATAAAGAAAGAAAGAAAAAACAGGAGGTGTGTTAAGCTTCAACTGGAGCGACACCAAACACCATTCAAATATGATTGAAGAAAAGGGTAAGGAGAGGAGGTGTGTTTGAGACTAATCTTCTGTGTATTGTTATTATCCTCTAGCATTTCATGTGATTATAGTAGTTAGAATTTCATGTTATGATTTTTTTATTTTTTTTTACACAGACCAAGTTCACAGCTTTGGCTGTTCAATCACATCGTTCTGCCACAAACATCACCCCCTAATACAAGTGTGAAATGAAGGGAGAAAAAGAAGAGAGAGAGAGAGAGGAAAATTATTTCACACATAAAGTTAAAACCTTCTGGCACCATTTCTGGTAGAACCTGCAAACTCTGCACCCCTTTTCTCTCTTTTTTATTTTACATAGTTTTTTCTCTCTCTGTTTAAAACGTTATGCTATAGCTAGTGTTATGCCATTCAACCATAGTAAACAACACTGTACACTGTGCTATGCTGTGCCATTGGTTTTAACTTTTGATTCCCAGAGGTCACTTTCTGTGTGGTTTTGCTATTGCATTATCTGTGAGAGTTTATGGGGAAATGGGTCATGTAGGTGAACACCAAGGACAGTGATATATTTACATAGAGTACTATTTTTATTCTGTTACATTACTTTATAAAAATTGTAATTTAATCTTAATATACAAATTAAAAATTATCGTGACTATATTTTTAAAATGATTAATGATAGTATAAAAGTTTGTATTTTTTAATTGAATTTTAATAATTATACATGCTAAAATGTTTATAAATGAATACGTTAGTATTTAAAAAAATGTAAAAATTTGTCACTTTCAATAAGTAATGCAATCCATTTGAGGTGACAGGGACGTCGTTCTCTATCTCTTAACACTCTTCATTGCCAATCTCTTGGCACTGGGTTCATGCTCATGATAGTACCCGATTTTTATTTTAGTTTTTAGAAACATTTTATTTATTTTTAATCATTATGTTTGATAAAAGTGATTGGTTTTGGTGTCTTGTAAAGATTACAAATATTAAAAAAATGTAATTTTTAAATAATATAGTAAGAAAATTTTAAGAAATTTAAAACTATATTTTTAAGAACAAATTATAAAAATTATGTGAATTTTATCCTAATTTAATATTTATTTTCTTATTTTTATAATTTTTAATGAAATTTAATAAGTAAAAATGAATATGTTAAAAAAAAGTATATTTTTAGTGTTTCTCTTTTAAAAATAAAAAATTTATTTAATTTTTTCTTATTTTAACTTATCAATATTACTATTTATCAAATTATATCATTGCCGCTTGGTCCCCTCTCTTTCTCTCTGGTCGTCTCATTTATTTATCGCATTTGTTTGGTAGGTATGCATCCTCATATTAATTATTTAATACCATCTCTATTATTGTTTCAAACAAATTCTCAAATATTTTGTTTTGTGCTATTTTCATATGAAATTAATAAAAAAAACAAAACAAGTGTATGATATAAAATACTAAAGTCTTAGTGTATGTTCGATGAGTAAAATTCTTAATTTTTAATTTTATGGGAAATTTTGACGAAAAATTATTTTAATATCTAAACTGTTTATCTTGGAAAAATGAATATAAAAAATTAGCATAGCACGAATGTTATTTTTATTTTAAACGGTTTATAAAACAAATTTAATTTGAGTTAAAAAGTTTTCACTGTGAAAGAAAATTATCAGTCTATGTAAATTGGAACTTGGTACACAAAATAGTACGTGCTTAGCTTTGATGAAAGAAAAAGTACAAAGTCATTTTATTTGATTGACTATATACCATTTCATCAAAATCTCGAGTAAATTACATTTTAAAAAATATATTTAAATTAATTTCTTTTTTAGTTAAAAATATACCCTCTTTTAAATATAATGATATACACCTTATTTTTTCAATACATGTGAAACATTTTTTTTCACAAAATTAATAATAAATGTCTAAGATTGACTTTTATCATGTCCACGATCATGATGAGAAAAAAAAACCTTAAAAACTATTTATATTTAAATAAACTAATATATAACACTCATCTTTTAAAAGAAAAAAATATATAATTTAAATAGTATTTCTTCTGATTATTTATTTATAATGAATAATAAAATATTTATTAAAAGTAATAACAAGAATTACAATTATAAATTTATATTATATTTAAAAATTTTATAATATTAAATAATATAATTATTTATATATTAAATAGTACATGAAATAGGCACTTCGATGATAAAGTTAGATAACGACATAGACAGTAAATATTATTAAATGTTCGAAAGTCAATTATTTACTTGTACTTTTTATTTTCTTTTTATAGTCAGTATTTTAAACTAATAGACTTTATGAGTCAGTCATGTCTTAGACATTCTATTTAGATACATAAATAATTATTATCTACTTTAATCTATTCTAATATATCTAATTTATCTCAACCTGACTGAGTGTTCGTGACCGAATGCTCATCTTTGTGCCAAGAGAGTACTGATATTTTTTTTTTTTGTCATAATAATCAAGTGATACCTTATCAAGTTTAGTCAATAAAACAATTTTTTTTAAAAGAAAAATGCAATGAATATTAATTTTCCGTGATTTACATCGTAGTCTAACATAACTTTCAATAAAAATTATACACTTCTAATTCTTCAATCGACAATCGTAGGGCATAAGTGTGTTTATTATACCACCCACGTATCTATTATTGCTCCTTTTTAAGTGATTTTTTAATATATTTTTTAAACTAGATAACAGTAAGGGTTTTTTATACACAATTTTAAAATAGTATAACATTAGAAATATAGGTAAGGCAACCAAATTTCTCACGGCCATTTGGTTAACCAAAACTTCAATACAACAAATGAATGGTGTAATAGAAAGTTAAATAACACTCCCTTTATTTACTCTGTCACTTGAGAATATTTTTATTTGACATAAAATATTGTGACTTAAAAACATCAAGAATGTGTTGATTATTATTTTTTAAATATTTTTTTATTAAAGTTAAGTTTTTCTATCAACTGACTACTAAAATAATTTTAATAGTATTTGAAGAGGTTAGAAATATGTTCTTTTAACATAGAAATATACTTTTTTAACAAATTATTTTCATCTTTATATGACTTTATGAATAGTTTTATCTATTAACTACTAGAATAGCTCCAGCACTTTTATTAAAATTATCTTAGTTTGTTTTAATGATTGTAAAAATTAATATTTATCTTAAAACGTGTACATTGACATTAAACAATATTAAAATGAGATATATATACCATCAACATGTCTCCACGCATTGTAGGTATTTTCACCTGGGGTCACATCTAATCACCCTATGGCGAGATGTGTGGTTGTAATGGACCCTGATCACAATCTCATCCTTTTACGACCATATATATGATTAAGAAAATAGACCCAATCCTAGAATAAAAAACAGTCTTAGAATGTGTGTACTAATTCTCCTTTATGTCGTTTTTTTTTTATTTACAAAAGAAATATAATTTCACTTAACTAAGATACGTTTATAATAATAACAAATAGGAGAAACAAACTATATTTTCGCACATTATCACTAAAATTCTATCAAAATTTTGTAAAATTAATAATTATCTTAAAATGTGTACATTAACATTAAACAATATTTAAAACGAAATGAAATAAATTATTATTCAAGGTCAAAATGAAAAAAAAAAAAACACAAACACACACACACACGCAAATACTTCACTAATAGGCATTGACATTTGATAAGTTTTCAAAATCCATTCCTTCATGATGAATTGTTAGCTTAAAAGATCCAAGTCTCACTTGTTACCTTACAATATGTGATTTTCCTCTGTATCACATTCTTATAAGGTAACGATTAGTGAGAGTGAGAGTGAGAGTAGAGGGCACAATCCTTTGCCTCGGGAAGGTGAAGCTCATTTGTCTCGTCTCTCTGATCATGATTCCCAGATGGTCCCACCCATGATCATAAACTTTGACGCCGTTAACGTTGCTGTCAATCCTATGCTCCTTTTCACGTATGCATGCCATGTCATTCCCAAACACGACAAAACCTCTTAAATTACCACTTAATTTCAAGTTAAGAGCTTTCTTAATCTTTGCCACTGTTCCCCGTATTAAGTCATGCTCCTTATTTAGGAACAATGTCTCTCATCATTACCCCATCTACTTCCCATTCCTACGTGCTTCCACCTCATGCTACCACCTCTCCCTTCGTCTTCTTAACACTACACATTTTTTTAAATAATAAAAAATCAAATGTTTTATTGTATTTATATTTTCAACAAAAGTTTGTTTTTTATATATTTATAAACAACTTTCAAATCTAATACTATACAGTGTCATCAGTAACGAATTTGCATTAAAAAAATGTCTTTAATTCTATATTTTTAACACATTTTAATCATTATTAAGAAACCTATGATAAGAAACAAAACCATTGATATTGATTTATTAGTATTAATATTAAATAATTTTCAATAATCAAATTTTAATGTTCTCCTATAATATATAAAACGTATGTAACTTTTTTTCTACCATCAAACTTCTTTATAATTTGTTTTGCTGCTAATTGTATGCATTATTTATGAGATTTTATCACTCTTAACCTCGAATGTGCATCCAATTATAAAACTACTTAAACTTTGAGAAGTAAATTCACTTATTGAGTTAAACCAAAAGTTTATTTAAAATTTTATTTTTAAAATAGTAGCATTTGTTAAAATATTATGCTTTTCTCGTACTTTTCTAGGAAATATTAGATTGGATCTAGGAGACAGAAGAAAGCACTGAAAAAAAAAAAAGAGATCATTAATAAAACTCACCAATTGAACCACCATTTCCGTCAAAGAAGCACTAACACAAATCATTTGAGAAATTTGAAAATTAGAAAATAAATCGAGCTTTGCTTAAAGCCATGGAATTAATGAGGGAAATTATAAAGAGAGGTGAAAATTTTGTAGACACAAAATTCAAGCTCCAATTATTATGTACATATCTCTAGAGTTCTCATTATCACTACAAATATTATTATACTAAATTTCTTATCCAACTAGCCAAGTCATCCAAAATTTGGAAATGCATGTTGAAGCCCAAACAGAGCATATCAATCTATCAGAAGGCAATGATACACACGACACTGACTTACTAGCTGAGATATTAGGGCAAAGAAGGGGGTGGGAACTAAACCCTATACATCTACCTTTAATGAGGTAGGGAACACCACAGACAATTAACATTTAGTTTTTTTCTTTTTTTACAAGCTGTTCTTACTTCTTAGGATGAAGATTAACGATGTATTTAGTTAAATAACAACTTTATTAATTGATTATTAACAAGTTCTTAATACATAAACATTTATGATATAGTTTTAAGAATTTATATAATTTTTTTATTAAAATAAATAAAAAACAATTTAAAGGATTTATAAGCTATTTTTATAAAATGTTTGAAATTTTTTA